TAGGCAGCATAACACAACAGAACTAGGCAAAGAGCTTACGCCTGCTGCTATCAGAAAGGAGGCAGAAGATAGAAAAGCAGGAATGTATCCTTGGGGGGAAAACATAGGAAAGAATTGCATCTTTTGACTCCACAGATGTCCTGAGGATTAAAATGAGGTAAAGCTATCCTTTAGAAGATGTTCTTCTTCTAAAGGCATTGACTGGAACCTTTGGATGCCAAACTTTCAGTCAGAGTTTTGCAAATTGAAAAATCACACATTACTCTACAAAAGTAGTCTCACCCTTACAGATGCAGCATGTAACTTAAAAAAAAGAATTGTTTTTACATATTTGATGAAACTATGTCATGACAGCATGGTATGAGACAAATAATTTGCAAAACGAATGGAGCACCTTTGCCTTTTCCTAGTGCTATAAGCAGCCAATCAGATCCAGAAGGTGGGTCCTAGCACTGTCAGTCACCCCTCTGTGTGATGCTGCTCCTCCTGTTCATTCTGCCAATCAAGTATACAGAATGGATCAGACTGGTAGTTTTCCATCACACATTATTTTTTTGCACGGAGGCTAAAAAGTATAATTTGGAATTCATCTCAGGAGATTATTTTCCTCCACATCTCTTTTGTGTTCTTGCATAGTTTATGCTCATCTTAAAAAAGAAAAAGGGCTTCCAATGGCTTTCTTTCTTCAATGGCTTCTTCTCACCCAACAAAAAAGTCTAATCAGTCTAATCAGACTCTTAGGGAATGTGGTCTCATGCTTGGTCTCCATCAGTAGATCAAACATTATGCATTATGCAGTGTCCTTTAGAGTGTCTGCCTTGAGGTAATTCCACCTGAATAGGCTGAGAATCTTATCAATAACTGAAAAACCCTAATTTAACCATATAAAATAATTTTGAAAATAATATCTTTAACTTAATTTACATTTTATTGTATGGTGAAAAATTAGACATTATTTTATCCCTAAGATAACAAAACCTCCATGCTTGTAAGGGGTGGGATTCATCCCACTGCTTTTTGCGTCACCTAGTGGTTGTTAATTTTCAGCTCAAGCCAGTTTGTTTTTCCAATAGCAAGTTTGCTCAAGTTTGATAAAATCACCTTGATAAAATGGACAAATTAAAGGCTAATGCATAAATGATGAGCTTATTCACACTTTGTTAGGGGATGCAGATGGATTTTGCATGGATAATGCAGCACATGACTTTGATAACTTGCCTTGGTGAAGATATTGTCAAATCTCTCCCACCAGGGGGCGGGGTTGTACTGCCTTACAGTTTTCAATAGCTTTTGCCTGACTTTAGGAATACACTCAAAGGAACTGAAAATGGGTCAGCCACAAATAAACTAACCATAAACAATTCGTTCATGTTTTGAAATCCTGTTATGCATTGTTTAAAGCCACTGAATAAAGATATCTCAGTGTCTACTTACTTTTTTTTCCCAAAGGTTGATTGTTGTAGTATTTCTTCTCAACACAGTCTGTTTACTATATATTTTATTGACCCTTGGTCACTATACACAAAGAACTGGCAGTTTTCTCAGCAGTGTTGTGTATCACATTATATTTTTTACTGTGAAAGCAGATAAAAATACAGATAAAAGTTGACATGATACAGTCGTGTCAAATATCAAGGTATTTGTGTCATCCTTAGTTTTAGACAGTGCAAGTTTATAAATGAGGACATAGCTGCAAAATAATATTAATCCCCACAAAGCTTGCAATATGTACTCTCAAAGCAATATTTGAAACGTTTCAAACAACTAGAACTGTGGCAAAAAAGACTCTTTTAACTTACAACCTTTTATGAATGGGATTTATTTTACACATCTTTGCTGCAAAGTTATGTCTTAAATGGCCATGTTTTGGAAAAATAAGTTAATTTCTACCAAAAGTGAACAGTGACATCATCACGACTTACATGATGTGTTCTTGTGGATAAACTCAATTTACCCTCCTGCAGAAGCCTGTAAACTGATGATTGCATTAAGTAGAGCTGTAAAGCATAAGAACTCAAGCTAAATTAAAAACACACTTTAGCATCAACTATAATTTGGCATCGTTGAACATGTCAAATGTCTAATGATTCTCCTTGCAGAGGTATCATGTATGCAAACACCAAAAAGTTCTTGTTATTTACTGACTTCAGTTTCACAGAGCTGAATGTTACACTATGAACCAATCCAGCAAATGATTGATACTCTGAAGGATAGAAGGTTGTTACTGTGCTAGTTATACACAGAACATGTTCTAGTTGTGAATATTTAAACAAAAGCTCTGGAGAGAATTAATCACTGCCAGGTAGGAAACTAAAAGTCAATTCAACTCAGACACTCACTTTATGCTTTGTGTCATGTGCATGCTAATTAAAATCTGGAATAAAAAAACACTTTTATTGCAGTCACTTTTATTAATTCCAACACTTCAAATGGTTGCAGACTTAAAAATAAAATCCATAATTAATTAGTCACAGTTGCAGAGTTCAATGAAACCAGGGAAGCACTACCTCCTTATTTTAAAATGTTCTGCGTTTTTTAAAGACTCACCAAGGTTCCCTACCATAACTGTGTTTGTAAACTGATGAAGCTGCTCATTGATGAAGTTTGTCCAGACATGCCACTTCAGAAGTTTCATCACCCTGCTGAGCTGCAATGCCTCTGTCCTATTGGTCTGTGGTGCCTGTTTGGGCAGCTATGCTCCTCTTCCTAGATGGAATGTTTTGCATTAACTTTTTAAGCATTTACAATATGTAAAAATAAACAAAAATCATACAACTTTCATCACTTTTCTAAAAGAGCTCTGGATTGAGGTTTTGGTGAAATACATTTACTGTCTATGGCTCATACACAGGAAGTCATAGACTAACATATATGGAAAAGAGAAGAAGGAAGGAAAGAGTCTACAAAGCCTTTCTGTAACTCCTGATTGTTTTTAACCACCACATCCTTCTTGTCCTCCACAGGAAGTTCAAACACAATGAACAAGCTTAAAGGAGGTCTGAATCAAAACTCGTGAACTTTGAGAAATACATTTACTTTCCTAAATATGTCTGTTTTTCAGTATCACATCAAAACCAGCATTTAGAAAGTTCCTGATCCTTGCAATGAGGATAGAGCAACGACGCCCAGATGTTGCATGAGCTCCTCTCTCCAAACAGCATTTCTTTCTTGGAGTTATGTAAGAAGTAGCTCCTCCCTACTCCCGAAAAACGTGCAGGACACGTGCCTGACTTTTCCTACCATCAATAAACCTCTGCCTCTGAAAAAAAGTGCACGTTTCAAAGAGAAATGTTGCATACATCATATAAACTATGTATGTCAGAGGTTTGACATTGATGGCTCAAAGTAGGTCTAGAAACGTTGTTACTCTCCCACAGACATATATATGTGAACCATTCATTCAAATGACAGTGGTTATAGTGACCCAGAGAATGACCTTCACCATAAGGATGTTTTGCTAAAACATTTCCAAACATTTTGTTTGGAAAATTCTCCCTACAACAGGAAGATTTTCCTTAAAACCTAAACGTCTGCAAGCCTTTGACTTCTGAGTTGAGGTTTTCCTTTGAGGAATGTGTCATATTTCTAGTATTAATATATTTGAACTATTAATAACATGTACATTTTCTTTTATCGTTATGTGTGTTTGTTTCTCACAAGACACTCCACACCACCAAAGAAATCCAGTCCACAAAGAAGTTGAAATTACAAGTGTTACCTTCACTCTGTAAGCTGAGAAATTTTAGTACAAACTGTGACCCTTTTTCTGCCACATTCCTCACACAGGTGGGGGTGCTGTGTCTATTTATATTAGGGGAGGTGATTAGTTTAAGGGGGGCTCATTTGTTAAATCGCCTATCCATGCCAAGTACTGTAAGATCTCTTGTGAAAAAAAATCAATGCTGGCTGATTTTTTTTTTTAGCTTGTCTCTGGGACGATTTTCTTCCCCTAACTTTTGCAGAATGTTCTGGAACCTCCCCAGACACATCACTATAAAGGAGAAAGAAAAAAAAACCCCACTGACATCAACTGGCATGTCCAGACCATTTGCAAAAACTGTAAAAAAAAAAAAAAAAAAAAAAAGAAGAAGAAGAAGATCCAGAGGATTTGCAAATTGGTAACATTTGTGTCAGTGATTAAAATACTTGAACATTATTTTAAGTTGCCTGTGCAAAGTTTCTTTTTGCATTAGATTGATATTTAAACCTTTTTTTAGTTGAATGAAACACATTAGGAACAAAACACTGTGGCAAGATTCTATGTCACACTTTAGGTAGATATAAATACTGAGATAACACATAAAATTAGAAGATAAAAACACATTTTGCATAAAAGTTTTGTTGCATGCAATGAAAAATGGGGGCTCAGGTTTAGGACACGTCAGCCTGCTGCTCCATTTGCTCCCCCATCCTGCAGCCAGCAGCCAGGATGGAGAGACGTGGCAGTGTGGGGGTGGGGGCTGGACTTGAAGTCTTTGGAGCTTCCCAGAGGGGTATATGCAACTGAATGAAACTTTTGAAGTTCTAGAAATTTCCATTTGAAACCAGAGAGAAATAAGTAAATAATTGCAATAAAATTCCAACTTTTTCTCCCCTTTGATCTAAAAAACAATGTGCCAATTCAGAAACTTCCTGTGTATGTCTACAAAGAGGGATTGTTCAGGAATGATACTCGGTTGGCTTGAATTAATATCACACATGTATACATGTAAAAAATAGGCTTAATTGATTCAGGAGAAAATTGTCCAATCTTTCTTTTTTCTCACAATTTCACCCAGTGATGAAATCAGGATGAAATATTGAGTCATCACATTGCATTAGTACCGACAGATCAGCAGCTATCCACTTTGTGTCCACAGATATCTTTGGAAAAAGTTTTTCAAAGCTGATCCCAGACCAGTGCAGGAGAGTTAACTTCAGTCCTTCCAGCTCTCTAGATCCACCCTGTGATTTCAGTGGGGGGGACGTCCCAGTCCTAACTTCCTGAGCAAACATAGACATCCTTATTTGAATATCCCTTTCCCATCTTCCAGAAAATTCTCTCTAAGGATATATAGAGCCGAGGAGAGTCGTGCCTTTATGCTACCCACCGGACACACCTGATCGGAGAGACCCTGCGAATCTGTGCCAGGTGAGAATCAAAAAATATAACCATGTTTGTTTACAGGGAAGAAATATGGACAGTGAATCGACTTCTTTGTCTTCCTGGGTTAACGGTACAGCAGTGGGTTTGTCCTACTTTTCAGCTGTTTGCTCTCTTTAAAACTTAATATTTTCATGCGATCTGTCCGAAAATGATGATGCAATATTTTCACATTTAACCAAATTATGCACATGAAAGTGTTTCGATGAAATGAAGTCTAGAAAATGTGTATTTCTGATTAAAAAAATCAAGTCACAGACAAATTAATTGGGAGCAGAAATGAAGCATGCATATCAACACAGTTTGTCTAAGAGCCTGAAAAAGTCCCACTTTTTACTTTGTGGAGATTACGTCATAAACCTTTTGTCTTTCAGAATGAAAATCGCAGACATGAAAACATCTCAAGGTATCCATAAGTGAAGTTAATTTATGTTATGCCATAAATGTGAAACCATAGAGATGCAGAAAACATCTCTCTGTAAAAAGAAACAGGATGCCAGTGCAGCTGGTTATTCAAACCTTCAGGCTATGTATCTGATAGAATGAGGAAAGCAGAGAAGGAAGCTGTGAAAGAATCGCAGACTTTGGTAACTGAAAAAGTAATTTATTTATTTAACCGACGGCATACCAGTTTGCATTAATTGTAGTTCATCCAGAAAAGTGCGAGGCATCATATTTCACCCTTCAATCAAAGAGAAACATGACTCTAAGGGGCCGCCGCTCCAGCTGAACCCCTCATTGCTGCTGACGTGGCACCGATCATAGCTGCTTCTGTCTGGAGACTTTCCAGAGCTTCTCTGTGGGCTGAACCAGCCCTGCCGCCAGTTTCCTCCCTCACTCCAAAGTGCAAATTTTCCACTGAAGCTTAATTGCTTCCTGCTCATTTTTCAGGTTTCTCAACAGTTTTCATGATTTTCTTGTTATTGGAATACAACATTTCACAGTAAAACTTGTTATCGATAGGTTCCACAAGTATTCCAACACATCGACTTCACACATTTCACAGTTTTAGCAGATAGACTAACTTTGATCAGTTTTTTTTCTTGTTGGAATTGTAAGCAGAGCTCCCTTACGAACCAAGAGCCCAGTTCAATCTTATTTTAATGCTCTGAAGAATCAGAGCATTAAAAAAATAGTGAAATTGTGAAATTTAGTGTGATATCAAATGTGTTTTCTAACTTACATTTGGTTACCTTTAACCTTCTCCTTGTTTCTTCTGTTGCTTGCAGTTTGTCACACTCAAAGTAAAACAGGATGTGGATGACCAGAGCTGTCCTTCTCTGTTTGCTGGCCTTCGTGGCCTCTGCAGAAGACAAGAAGCTGAGCAGCCATGCTAACACACTAGCTGACAACAGTGCCAACTTGGCCTTCAGGTTAGCTATATGATTCAACATGAGGGCGCAAGACAAATTAGCAAAATTGCTGCTTTGCCATTTTCTTAGAAAATGCAATTAATGTGTTTTTCTGTTCTTTTAATCCAGCTTGTACCACAAGATGGCTCAGGACAAAAATACAGAGAACATTGTTGTTTCTCCTGTTGTTGTGGCGTCCTCTCTGGGGCTGGTTGCCCTCGGTGGTAAGGCCTCCACTGCCTCCCAGGTGAAAACTGTCCTCAGTGCTGACAAACTCAAGGACGAGCACCTGCATGCAGGCCTGTCAGAGCTCCTCTCTGAGGTAAACAGTGCACAGAATCACAAATTTTAACTTCTCGTAGTCAAAATGAGGTTGTGTTTGAGGGCAGAGTCTCTAAACTTTTGCATTAAGAGTTCACGTTTTGCATTTTACCAGGTGAGTAATCAAAAGACCCGAAACTCCACCTGGAAGATCAACAACCGCCTCTACGGCCCCAGCTCTGTCTCCTTCGCCGATGACTTTGTGAAGACCAGCAAGAAGCATTACAACTATGACCACTCAAAAATCAACTTCAGGGACAAGCGGAGCGCAGTGAACTCCATCAATGAGTGGGCAGCTAAGTCAACGGACGGCAAGCTGCCGGAGATCACCAAGGACGTGCAGAACCCAGACGGAGCCATGATTGTCAACGCCATGTTTTTCAAGCGTAAGTGCACACAGTGTTAGGGCATGGTAGCAGATTCCATCTAAACCCTACCCAGGAGTGAAACAGATTTTCTTTTTAACCCACAGCTCACTGGGATGAGAGATTCCATGAAAAGATGGTTGACAACCGTGGTTTTCTGGTTACCCGCTCCTTCACTGTTGGAGTTCCTATGATGCATCGCACAGGTGAGCATTGCCATCTCTGCTTGTGATCTTGTTATGTCTTTCCAGCTGTATCCTCACATTTGATAAGATGTCTGATGTCTTCTTCCAGGTCTCTATGACTTCTATGAGGACAAAGAGAACAATCTCTACATCCTGAACATGCCTCTGGGCAAAAAGGAGGCCTCCATGATCCTTATCATGCCCTACCATCTGGAGCCCCTGGATCGACTGGAGAAACTGCTGACGAAGAAGCAGGTAGACACATGGCTGGGCAAGATGGAGAACAGGGCCGTGGCACTTTCCCTTCCCAAGATCTCATTGGAAGTCAGTCACAACCTTCAGGTAAATGTTTCAGTCGGTATTTGAGTCATATGGTTATATAATAAGCAATCAATAGAGTCTTAAGCAGTTGTCTTTTCTTCCTGTAGAAATATTTAGCTGAGTTGGGCCTCACTGAAGCGGTGGACAAATCCAAAGCAGACCTCTCGAACATCTCAGGGAAGAAGGACCTCTACCTCTCTAACGTCTTCCATGCTTCTGCCCTGGAGCTGGACGTGGACGGAAACCCTTATGACACAAGCATCTTCGGCACAGACAAGCTGAAGAACCCTAGGCTCTTCTATGTAGACCACCCCTTCATCTTCCTGGTGAAAGACAACAAGACCAACTCTATCCTGTACATCGGCAGAGTTGTTAGACCCAAAGGGGATAAAATGCGTGATGAGCTATAATGATAGGGTTGTGAATCATGTTAGATTTAATATTTGTGAATTTCTGTCAGGAAACTGTATGTATGAGTGTGTGGATGTGTTTTTATTGGCATGATTGTTACCTCAAGAGCACATTCCAATACACAATCTGTGGACTGGATATCTAAGTACAATTTTTGACACTTTGAGCTTAGGATGGCAAAACACACAATGATCAGCATCAGTTGGCTAAAAAAGGCAACATACTTATATTAAGTGTGACGATTTTTATTTTCAAATTTCCAAACCTGTTTTGCCACTGATGGTGTTACCACGTTCCCTGTGCTTTTTCTTGCATTATCTTTAATGTTTAAAGAAAAAAAAAAGATCTTTGCACAACTTTTGATTTGCAGTTGTCATTCATTTCTTTATTTTGCCGCCATCTTGCACTGAAAGGTGGCCATATATGGTGCTGTATTCATGATCATTTTCCAGCAATACCCAGTCATCGTGTCATTGTAGGTATTTCCACAAGAAGCTGTTGGAATAGTGTGACTATATATTAATTTGTTGGTGTTTTTTTTTTTTTTTTTTTTCAATAAAACAAAAGCAAAAAAGATTTGGCGGGTGTGTTCTGATTTTTGAATTCCTCACTGAGCACCATTTTTTTTTTTGTTCTTTTTTTGTGAAGTGTAGTCACGGTGTGCATTCATGCACCAAATGTGAGATAACAATCTTTCCAGTCGGCTAAAGGTCAAACATTCCTCTCTAGTCTGGAATGCAGAGGTTTAACAATGACGACTCTCTCTTCTTGCCCAGCTAATCTACCATGGCTACATAGACTTCTTTCTAACCACTCCTACCTCCAACACCACACTCACTGGGAACTCTGTGGGAAAGTCCCAGAGAGAGGAGAGACATGCATGCACTGCAAATAATATGAAGTGGAGTGCAGGACTCTCATGGTGATTGGGCAAATTTCTCACAGGGAGTTCAAGCAAAGACAAAATGGGATTGTGGCAGTGCGACAAGTCTGATAACTCCCCCAGATAAACATGTGACTCAGTCCTCTCTTCTACAGCACAGCAACAAGGAGAAAAGTTTACTCCTTTAAAAAATTGTCGCATGAGCTTTGCCATCAAAAAGAAGCATTAGCAAACTTGCAACTATAAATGCAACAGCACCTCCTTGTGGTGATAAATGGTAAAGACTGTTCATTTATGTGGACAAAGTGATACAAATCAATGGTTTATTTTTATGGTAATTATTTACATGTATATTTTTCTTTGTATTGCAGTTATAATAGATCAGGCATACAACATTCAGATAATTACACACTATACACACTTATCACAGACTTTGCTGTCATCTTTTTAAATAAAGCACATGGAACTCATCAGCCTACAAGGATTGTTGGGGTTTAAAAATTTTTTTAAAGGTATTGTTGAAGACTTCTTAATAATGACATCTGCTGCAAGGTTAGGGCTTAGACAAATCATCATATTTAAGAATGCTCTCCTTTTTTTTACTTCTTTCATTACTAATTTTTGTCTTTACTAAATGATTTCTTTTACTAACAAAAGAAGATAGAAGAACATTGATATTTTGAGGAGAAGCAACTCACCAATCAGCTTTACTGTTTTTTTTTTTAAATCAATTAACTTAGCAAATTAATTTTGGGAGATTTATCTGAGAATAAACTCCTTGGGACCACTGATAATATCTATCAAGAGTTTAAGAAAAGAAAAAACACCCTAAAAGTTAAAGAATCACATAACACTAAAACAGTTAGGTCATTTTCTGAAAAGTTAAAGTGCAGTTAAAGCCTTACAATACCAGCTTTCTCTGGGAGATCATTACTGAGCTTTGCAAAGCATTTGCCTTATTAAGGGACCTCAAGATTTCACACTGAACATTATTTTATGAAAAAATATATTTTTATTTGACTTTTCTTTCAGTGTCTTCCAAAAGCTGACCTCATTTCTTAACTGTAATCTATAATAAGTGTTGTCACTGTAAAAAGCTTGTTGGAGGGTGCAAATTCAATCTTGGTCCACTCCATTGCAAACAAACAAACAAAAAAACAAATAGCAAGGAGATTTTTTTTTTTCTAAATACTTGATTTTACACAATAGCAGCTGTTGCCTTCGAGCTTTGGATGGCTAACAACACATAATATAAACTCCTACATAACAGGCTCAACTCTGTAGCTTGACTAAAAACAGATCTCACTGAAACATTTCAGTTTGAAATAGGCGTTTGGGGCGTTCAGTCTTTGGATGGATGAACCTCCGGTTGCCCTGAAGTAGAGGACCACGCAGTGGCCAGTGATTTCAGAGAGGATTGAACAAGTTCAACCTTTATTAAAGAGCAAGTACTTGTTGGCAGCAGGTAGGCAGCCAGGTGATGTGACCATTCTCATTACATTAGCACCGTCATGTTCTGCTGTGCTGGCTGAAGGGAGATTAGCCAGTCGATGAACAATCCTCTTAAACAAGTCTGCATTAAGCCACATTGAGAGGCCGGGTGCTGCTTTCAGCCCTGTGCTTTCCCCTCCCGGCTTTTCTTCTCTTTCTTCATCCAGATGCCTCCATCCTATGCTCTTCTTTAGGTCCTTTCATTTATTTGCTCCTCTTCCTCTCATTGATTCATATTTTTTTGTCCACCTGCCTGTTGGCCTTGCGGAAATGAGTCTTGATCTCTTCTGTCACCATCTCTTGCCAGTTGTCCCTAGTTTAACAGAAAATGTAGAGTTGAAGTCTCTGTGGCACAGTCCAACTTATTTTAGGAAACAGATAGGTGGGAAAATAGGACACACATTACGTACTATTACAAACACAATAAATGAAAAAAGTGAAGGGGAAATCTCTCAGCCGACACAAAAGAGAATGAATGCAGTAAACAAGCAGGGCTTTCCCCAATCCACTCAAGGAGAAGAGGAGGAAGGTGATAAGATCAAGAGATTAATGAGATTATCAATCAACGAGCTTCAGAAATCAATAGCAGGAAGTTGTGGGTGTGGAGACTCAGAGGATGCAATCATATTAAAGCAACAGTAAAACAACCAGAGCACAACACCAGGCAGCATGCTGATCTATACCTCCTGCATTTGACCTGAGACGGTCAAGCCTTTTTCTCGGCTTTCTTTCTCCTGTACGCAGCTATTTCCTCTGGTTTCAGCCCATGATTGTCTTCCCTGTTGACAACAGCAGTTTGGACCAGTCCAAGGTTTATTGGAGACAGTTATGAAAGTACAGTGCTTTGTGAACTCACCAATACCCCTAAATGTTTTGCTCACACCATGTCACATCACAACCACAAATAACTTCTTCAGACCATTTGATATTATGTAATGCAATCATAATTTAGAAGTAATTTGAAGGAAGCTGTAAGGAATCTTGTTTACATTTATGCCATAAGCTACATGACAGAGACAGCAAACATGAAAGAAGGAGACAATAATTATATTTTTAGGTTATAATTTAGCCCATTATTTATACATTATTTATTGTGCAAAGCTATTACAGCACATGACCCCAACATATCATTCCTATGTTAGAACATTCCTTTGTTCAGAAGAAAAATCTTGGAGTAATCTGGCAAAATACTTGACATGGAGGTGAAGATCCATCTTTCGGGTTAAGCAGGGAAATTAACCCAAAAACATAACCACATGAACAATGTCAAAGCCTGGACCGTAAACCAACTGAGAATCTTTGACGAGTCTTCGATTACTTGGAGAACTGATGATCTCAAACTAATCAAACTGAGTTCTTCTACAGAGAAGAATGGGTCAATATTTTACTGCATATGTGAAAAGCTGAGGGAAACATACTGCAAAAGGCAAATGTAATTGTAACAAAAACTGGTTCTATAAAGCACTGATTCTGTGGAGCTGAATACAAATGTACCCTATATTTTTTCCTAGTATTTGTCTACAAATAATTTTTTTTCAACCAGTTTTCATTTTCTTTCCTGTTCACAAACTTTGTTTCTCTTTATTGCAGTGCAACACATAACATCCCATTAAAAGGTTTAGCAGTTTTGGGTTGTAGCATGACAACGTTTCAAACAAAGTTTACATTGAGATGTTGCTGGCATTTTTGCTCATGTTATACATGAACAAAAATATATGATTTCTCATTTTGATAAAGCAATGCTAAACAGTGCTATAAGGTAAGAACTCTTACCCTGGTCTTATTTCTGGTGGTTTTGGCAAAGGTTTTGCAAAGTTTGTTTTCCCGACAAGCCAGTATGTCTCCTCTATACCTTTGCCCTGCAAGTACGGAGCAAAGAGTCACTCTGATCAGGTTATTGTGAAATCAACAGAAATAATTATTCTGTGACATTTTCCATGTTTGTTACCTTCAGTTCTGTCTTGCCTCTAACTTCTATTTTATATCCGTCATTAAGAGATCGGAGGATCTTCACAGTGCTACAATTTACATGGATTCTATAAGCTGAGACGGGAAGAAGACATTAAAAGACTGAGGTAAATGAGACATATGAAAGAGCAGCCCAATGTTGAGTAAATGTGTTCGGGATACTGACGCAGCCCAGTGGATTCCATACGAGAGGCAGTGTTGACGGTGTCTCCAAAAAGGCAGTACCGAGGCATGGTCAGTCCTACAACCCCAGCAACACAGGGCCCTTGAGCAAAAAGAACAAATGGACAACATATTAAGAAAAGGTAAACCAGCAGAGAGAAGGATACTATACTCATATACAATACAGTTAAAATGAACCCTGGACCTGTTTGAAACAGCGAAACAGTAAATACAGTCTGGCACTGTGTGGAGTAGACCACAGCAACTAGTTCAAACATCTACATTTGTTTTTAAAATAGTTGGATAATCATTCCAACGTAAAAGTTTTTAAAATCGTTCAGTAAAAGTCCAAAATTAACATAAAATGAGTGTACATGATGATTTCATATAAATGTCTGATCGCACTGTTACTGGAAAACAAAAAGTGGTTCTAACTTGAGTTCTTCTTAATCAAGTCAAAACCAGACATCTGAAATTCTGAAATGCTAATTTTTGATAAATACCCTTAATCTTTTGAATTAATCTAATGCCTGTATACAAATCCTGTTCAGAAATGTATTTGTTTTTAATGTGAACTTTATGGGACTCAAAATTCCGTTTCCCAATGGAAAATAAGGATTATGTCATGTTCACTACCTGAGTGAATTCCTATTCGTATCCTGACGGGCACGTCTGGCATGTGTCGCATGTGGAATGAGCCCACTGAGCTGAGGATGTTCAGAGACATGTTGGCTATCTCTGCGGCATGCTTGTTTCCATTCCTCTTAGGCAGACCCGATGCTACCATGTAAGCATCCCCAATGGTCTCCACCTGATCAAATTCACATATTAGTTAGGTTTGCAGGGTGCCAGTGTCATTCCAAGGGAACTTTAGGCAGACGATGCTAACGAACTCAACATAATTCTCTGACCTTGTAAACATCGTGGTTGCTGAGTACAGCATCAAACAGTGTGTAGAGGTCATTCAGAAGGTCAACCACTTCAATGGGGTCACTGAGCGAAGAGATGGTGGTGAAACCCACAATGTCACTGAAGTAGATTGTCACCT